ATAATTTATAAACTATATATCATTTCACAGATTTGAAAATGGGTTACTCTGTTGCAAAACAAACACTTTAATTTGGTTAAATTTAAATAAGAATTTCTAAAACAAACCATTTTAAAGATAATTATCTTGTTAAAAAATAAATAAATTAACTTATTAAAAAAATAAAAAAATATTTATTTTTAAATTAGACAGGTTAGACAAACAGATAAAAAAGTTAAAATCTGCTTAGTTTTAAAAGATAAACACAAAAAACTCTTTCGAAATCTAACAAACTTAGTATATTTATTTAGTTTGCAATGGACATTATAAGTTACAGATAAATTTAAGAAACATTATACAACGAAAGAAAAGCAAAAACCAAGTAAAAAATAAGGTGACAGTGTAGAAATCTATATAATATAATATATTGAAAAAAAAATTCACTTGAATTTATATTACTTCTATGATGGTAAAAGTTTTCTTGGAGTTCTTTTTATAGGTAAATTTTTCTTCGTAATATAGTTAACACACAGAAGAAGAAAAAAAAAATCAAAGATTGTTATTCATTAACCAATAGCTGAGCCATGAAAACATCAAAATGAGATGAAAACACTAATCAAAGATTGCTATCGAACTCATAACACAATATCGAAGCCATGGAAGCTAGTAAATAAAGCAGATTATATATGTAAAGAAAATTATGTGAGTATTTAGTATAAATGTTTGTGTTGCAATGATGTTAATTAAAAGTAATTTTTGTGGAAGTGGGACATTATAGCCTACTTCCTAGGCGGTTTCAGCTTGGGAAAACTTCCTGGGTGCTGGGCAAGGCTGAAAGGTGCATAATAAAGACAACAACATTTGTTTTATTAACTAGTTTGGTCGTACTTAAAAAGTGTTTATTAGTGGGTATCCCTTTAAGAACACAGTCTTAGGGGCCCAAAACCACACAAGATTATGTTAGGTTGGATAAACCATTATATATATAATAATCATATGGGAAAGGAACATAAACATGGCCATGCCTCCATTAGGAATAAAACACAATAAATGAAATGAAACTAGAGAAGAGTATAATTAAAAAAAAAAGAAAAAACCCTAATTCAACCAATGAGAAGCACCTTTTGTGGAAAAAAAAAAGTTGAAACAGTCGTCAAAATTGGAGCATTCTGCGCATGACGTCACTCTACCAAAGACGCATAGAGGTGAACTTTTTCAAGGGCGTGATGCTTTTAGGGTTTTTCCTACACTCACCATGCATATGCTTTGATGAACAAAAGTTTAATTTTTCGTATGGTGTTCCATAGTTGAGATTATCTTTTTTTTTTGTATATAGAAAAATGGTAATAATATTGTATGTGTTTATACTATTAAGTTCTATTGGGTATGTTTTTTCTTCTAAGTTAATAATAAGAAATGGAGTTAGTGGGAAATAATTGAAGTGGGTTAATCATGTTTTACGGTAATAATGAAAGAGTGTTGTTGAGAGTATTAATGGGTGATTATGACTTCAAAGAGACAAATTCAGATTTGCAAATCTGAAATCTTGAGCATATTCGAGACTAGAATGGAAGTTTCATTAGCATACATATTCATCATTTTGTTGCAAAGTCCTTTTGTGTGGGATGCCCTTAACTTGTGGCCAAAGGGTATTCGTATCATTGCAGAATAAGGGCAAAACTTCTTTGAAAATGTTGGGTGTCTTTTATTTTTCATTAATCATAGTTGGAGAAAAAACAAATAAAGATTTGAACTCTATACTTAAAATAATATTATAGTAGGAGCTGATTTCTATGTTATTTGATTAAGAATCACAAATTGCTATCACTTTCTACAAAGAAGCTTACACTGATTTCTACAAAATTGATGAAGTGGATTGCCATTTACAAATCACATGAATTAATTCTCATGTTCAGTGGGGAACACTAGAACTACATCAATTAACTCTCTTTTGAATACAATTTATTCAGCAATATTGGTAAAAAGAATTTATGCACAAATGTTTGTTTTTTTCTTTCCTACTATTGGATGTGTGTATGTTTTTAAGTCTGATTTATCTAAGCTTCTTTTTTGTGTTATAGAGGCTACATAGATTTGTTTTTATCTTTGTATCCTTATTTTTATATTCTACGTGCATATAAGAGTTGGAGCATTCTAAATACTCTATAATTAATATATTCTTTTGTTGATAAAAAAAAATCCTTTCTCAGTTCATTGTTTCTTCTTTTGTTTTAGACAGTGTTGATTTTAGCAATATTTTAATTTTAACAGTTAATCTTGCTAATATACGTTTAAACATAAAATAAATTATAAATTGTACTATTAGCCAATGAAACAAAGTAAAGTATTAGTTAAAATCTCTCAATGTTTTCGGGAGGAACACATATATGCAATTTTATATAATTTAAAAGTTCATGAAAGTGTAATTAAATGGAATTTATTTGTTTATATTTTAAAAAAAATATTATTCATTCAAATTGATCAAGATTACAGAGCATGAAAATTACCAAAAAGTTAGAATTTAATCTACTTCATAGAAAGATAAGATATTTTGAATGGTTGGTTTGAAAGGGAAAGACCACGAACAAGGGATTTTTTTTTTCTTTTCAAGTAATGAATAAGATATAACATAATGGACCACTTGCTAGCTTTTATTTTCTTCACCCCTTCAATTACTAACTTGCTTGTCTCATGTTAAAACTCCAACCAAAGTTTGGCCCACCAAATATCAGTCGAATCAATGTAGATGTTTAAGCTCAGTATCACCCTATTTTTGAGAATAACATTACATTTTCAATTATTCAAGTTTTTTCAACATTTATCGCCTATGTTTAACTTATTTTAACAAAATTTTAAGTTTTATTGAACGAATATCTAACTGAAAATTAATTATAAAAAGCACCGTATAATGAGTTGTTTATATTTTCTATGCGTAACTAAATATCAATTTATTACCGATATTATTTTGATAATTAATTTATCGTTTTTAATTGACTTAATTACTTATTTTGTTCAGTGTTCTAGAAACTTACCTAATTACTGACCCGGTTAAAACCGTGAGTCAAAATTGATCAAGTAAGCATTAAAAACAATTAAATATATTGTATATGTTTAACACAATTTGACAAAACTAACTCAAATTTAATTTTATAGCATAATAAAAAATTAATTAATGAAATAATAAAAAAGTTTAAGACTTTGTGATTCTCTAGCCAAATTATTAACAATTCTACAATTCTATAAACAAGTTCAATGTATATATAAATAAAATAATCTAGATCAAATCAATTATCAGTACAAAAAAAAATCTTTAAATATCAAACAATTTTAGAAATTAAAAATAATGATTCATTATATTGATTAATTTATATACTAATTGATAAATTAAAAATTATTAATATCTAAACATTAGTCATACTTTTTACAATAAAAAAAATTAGTATCTAATGTTTCCTTAAGTGTTACATCAAGTTTTAACTTCTTTCAAGTTTTTCTAATTCTTAAGAAGTACAAATCCTTTTATTTCATCTTCTAAAATTTTGATTCTTTTTGTAGTCCGTTTCCCATGCAATTTCCTTTTATTTTATCTATTTCTGTTTTTCTGTCATATTTATTGTTTGTATTCCTTTAAGTTTTGCTTCTCTTTCTTCAACAAGTCAAAAAAGTAAAAAAACTTAACTTCAGTTTAACCTATGTAAGGTTTTGTTTTTCAATAAAAAAGAAGTAAAATTTAAAAATGCTTAACTAAATTTAAATTGACATAGATTTTTTACTTATTTGAAAATTATTAAAATTCTGTGTGGCCGTAAAGTTGATTAAGTTAACACTAATAATGTTTAGGGTTTTGTTTAGTCTAATGACAACTCATCACGCGGTATTCTTGTACTAGTAATCCTGGGACTTACTATGCTTGGTTTTGAGATTGTTGGAGTAAAAAAACAGTGGCACGTTGATCAATAATTAAACCAATAATAGTGTTTATCAATAATATTCTTCTCTTTCAATTAATTGAAATATCATTAAAAAAAATATCCATTCAAAAGTAAAACATACAGAGCGTTAAATACAACTAGGCCAATATACAATAGACTCAAGGTATAACAAAATTAAAACCATTTTTATTATCCATGCTTGGTATAATGTTTAGTGGAAAAAATCACACAATTTTATTCATCAATTTATCCAATTAATGTTAAATACTGTGTGATTTTCCACCGTCGTTGTGAATCACCAGCAATAAGAAAAGATTTCTTTAAACAAAAAATGAAATTAAGAAGCGACCTTATGATGACACTTCTCAAAAGAAACACTTCTATGATTAAAGTTTGTATGTTGGATAACACTTCGCCAAAAAAGCATTATTTTCTATTCTTAAGTAATTTTTAGCATCTTAAGTACTATAAGAACGCTAATTTTCTCGTAAAAAGGCTAAACATGCAATTAATGATGCCAACTTTTCTGTAATTACTTTTACTTTGGTAAACTCAATTCAGGTAAAGCAGCAAGGTTGTAAAGGTCTCAGTAACCAACGAAATTTTGTTAATATTCCAAGGACAAATCACTCATGTCTTATGATAATTAGTGCTAAGCTATTAAATAAGTTGCACGCATGAATTTTAAACGGTTATCATTTAATGCCATTTCATATATAGGCTTAACCCTAACTAGGAGAAGCATTTATTTCATTTAATTTTTTCATCTTTTTAAAATGAATTAAAAATATTGAGTATATATATATATACTAATGGGTACGCCAAACTTGGAACGAAAAATATTTAAAAAATAATAATAATGCAGAGTATTAAAATGAATGAATGTAGAGATACCTTGGTTGGAATGGGCATCCACGTGATACCACCGAACAATGCTCCGACCAAGTAATAATTAATCAAAACTAAAGACTTCAATTTCGAGAGTGAAAGAGAGGATTTTGAATATCCCACTTCAGTCAAAATATCCTATTATTAATAATTAAAAAATTTAGAAATATCTTTTTTTTTTTTTCTTGTGAACTAATAATCCTTGTGTTACCCTAGTTAGGGTTTATGAGTATTGATGTTCCTAACACAAAGGAGATCTATGAGGAATGCCTTTCCTTCTGCTCATGCCAGTGGCCATGTCTTCATGGGAAACCTTGTTGCTCATTGATCTTGCACACACATTCCACCCACTACGCTTCTTCCTTACAATCTCTGTGCAAGCCATGCTCATGTTCTCTGACCCTGAAGATGAACTCATTGGCTCATCACAATCTACAATGGTTGAACGAGTCATTTCATCGTCACCCATCATCTCTTGTGGAATCAGAAAATCAGAGTTTAGTTGCAGTGACTTGCATGTTCTCAAATAGGAAGAGAGGTCCTTGTAGTGTTTCAACACAAAATCCACCTATACAATATTAAATATATAAATGAATTTACTTGAAAGTTCTATATTGAGATTAAGTAAAAATGAAAAATAAGATCCATGTAAACATGAACGAATACTGAAAGTCTCTTGTATAAAAAGTAAATCACTATTTCCTTGTTATGTACAATTACTTATCTAACTAGAGTGCAACTAATAGTTTAAGAATTGGTTAAGATTATTAGTACATAATAACATAGAAAATTACGCATGAACACCTTATGGTACAAGATACACAAAGAGAGCAATAGAGGGAAAAAAATAACAGTGTACATATGATAGAGGATACGATGTTAAGCATACATAAAAAAAAAGTTATGTCTGTCAACAAAAGAATAAACATTATACTCTAACTAAGTTCAATCTGTTGATGTTCTATTTCAATTCATTTCACCTGTGTGAAGTCAGTGGCAGAATTATAAGTAAACTGCAGAAGGGTTTTCAGATTGTTATTCACTGAAGCATAAAGGGTGTCACTTGTGTGTAACCAGTTGCAGAATTATAAGTAAACTGCAAAAGGGTTTTTACATTGTTGTTGACTGAAGCATAAAGGGTGGAATATGCATTATGTACCTTGCATCCCAGAGAGCAATGGATAAAAGGTTCTTGGAGACTTCTATCACAGGAAGTGCAGTAGTTTCCCGACCCCTTGAATTGCCGGTTTTGTGGTCTCTTCTTGATGAACACCACCTTGGCACTGTTGATGGTATAAGGCTATAAAAAAATTGAAGAGATTTTGAATTATCAAAGCATGATTGCCGAGTGACAAAGTTAGTAAAGTTTTACTGTTAATTAAAGGAAGAACTCATCAAATGCACTAAAGAGCATGATATATTTATATATGTATACCTGGACGTTGGAGCAATCTATGAGTTTGTGAAGATCTTCCAATCTGACAACATCATGATATACATAACGGCGAACCTGCAGAAGCCTATGGAAGCGATGGGAGGGTAAGCAGTGGGGACAAATGCTGGTGCAACAATCTAAGCAGCAAATATTCTTCTCATTCTTCTTTGCATTCTCATGATATGAGCATCCCACAAAGAACTTTTGTGCATAGAGAGCTTCCAACCATGCAGGTTTAAGGTTTCCCTGCATCAAGCAACAGTTGTAAGTTATTTGAAGCAAAAGGGTGAGTCATGAGTAAATCAGTATGGAGAAAAGAGGGGAATTCAAACCATGATCATTTGTGGAAAGAAGGGTGTTTGAAAGATCTGGTTGTGGTGTGAGAGAGAGAAGAAGAGGATGGGAATAAGAGTATTTATGGAGAATCACAAGATAAGAAAAGGACATATATATTTATTCTTCCTTGAATAGGTAGACACCATTTTGTCGATAGGGGAAAGTTATTATATGAGAGAGAGAGAGAGAAGGGAAAGTCATAAAGAAACAAGTTAAGATATGAGAGAGGAACGTGCGCGGTGTTTCTGTGTCTCCCATTTCTCTTTGGCTTCCTTGGCTTGTGGGCTCTTTTCTTATACAACCTAATCTCTCTCTTTCAACCAGCTGCGCTTGTAACATTTTTAATGGATCAAATTGGTGTTCTAAAGAAAAAGGACAAACATTTTTTGTTTAAAAAAAAATAGTAAAACGTTGGTAACACTTTTTTAATGTATTTCTTTATTGTGTTAAAAATTATATAACTTTTTGAGTCCTAATTTACATTTAATTTGACTAACCATAATTAAAAAGTTTTTTTTTTTAAATAAGTGACGAATCTTCAAAAAATTATTTCGAGTTGTCAATTTTTTTATAAGAAGGTTAAGATACTCCTAAACCGTTAAAAATTCAATTGTATTAAAGAGTACTTTAAGGATGAAATGAATAATAAAAGTGGAATACTTTAAAAAATTATGTTGAAGTACTTTTAGCTTATAATTAATATTGAAATAATATAATAATCACTCTTAATATAATACCAATTTTTTCTTTTTTTCCCACTTTTTCTCATGGTCACTTTTTTTTCTTTCATTATGTTTTTTTGTCTTTCTCTTTCAAAACCAGATGTAAAAAGGTTGCTATTTTAAATTGCATATTTGACTGGTAGTTTATGAAGGAAAACACTTTTTTTTTCTTTTTTTTTTTAATTAAGTGTGGACTTAATAAATTGGCGATTCATATGAAAATCATACATAAACATGTCATTCTCGTTCACATATACAATATTGATTGTTGTCGATTCACAATCAAATTAAAAAGTAAATTATGGTTAAAAGATTGAGAATAAAACAAATAAAAAGCATATTAATTCTTTAATTTGTTCATAATTGAATTATTTGTCAATTATCATATGGTTATCATTAAAAAAACAAATACTCAGTATTTCTTCCTTCTTATTCTTGAATACTTACTTGTATTTTAACCATCTTTAATTAATTTAAGTAGATCCGAAATTTCCCTTTAAAGATTCATGTTCCTCTTCCATGAAATATTGCTATTGTTGACCTTTTGCACTTTCTCATGCCTCTTTGAAGTTTCTATGTTCTGAACCTTTTATATCTTTAACTGCACTAAATGCATAACATGTGAGATCAACATACACAAATCATTGTGTTGGGTTTATCTTCCTTCTGTCCCTATTACACATAAGTTGATAGTCAGAGTCAAACTTATTCTTCTCAAATGAGATGTAAAAGGTTTATTCACATCGCTTCATGCATCATCACCCAATCCAAAGCTATGAGACTCACCTTAACATGTTTTTTCCTACATTTTTACATATCATTCTTGTTTGATGATGAGTATCATAAAGAGTGACATCTCTGCTCATGAATCATTTAACTTCCCTAGGTTTCAACCTCTATAATTTATATCCCTTCAGTTATTTAACATCTTCGATGAAGATACATTCCTGTCCGTCAATGCGTCCAAATTATTCATCTTGATGTGCAATAATTGCCAATGCATTGATCACCCTTTGATTATTTGTTGGTTTTTCACTCTGTATTTTCATGAGTCATATAGCACACAATGTATACATGTTTATTAGATAGACAACAATATTTGCAATTTCTCCCTATAATAACTTAGGCAAATCAACTCTTGATAAGCTAATCATAATTTAAAGTCAAAATATCACATAATTACATTGTGTTACGCATATTAAAGTTAAATACAATCTCTTATGAATTATTATGAGATCCTCCCATGTTAGATACTCTGAAAATGTGAAATCTGTGGTAGTTTCTTCGTCAAACATTCCTGCGCTGCGACAAACTTGTGAAAGGCGGCGGCCGCGGCCGCACCCGAGGGATAGGGGAGGCTGTTCCATATTTGCTCAATATTAAAGTGACCATTAAGATCTTAAAATAATTATTTCCCAATTTATGTATTTATATTTAAATTTTTAATCTCGTGATTCCTTGCTATTTTTCGACAAAGATTCCATAGCTAATTCATTTGAAATTTTGAAAAGGCTTAGATATACACGACAATCAAATCTATAACTTAAAATCTCAATTATACCGCACTACTATGTCCGTATAGTGTGTGAGTCCTTGCTATTAGGGTTTTGTTTTGTTTTATTTTATTTTATTCAGAAGTGTTATTGCCACTGTCCATGTACGAAAACTAACTAGTTTTTTGCACCCATAGTGTTACATCTCCCGTTACCAACAAATGATTGTTCAATTTTTCTTACTTAAAAATGTGTGCTTAACAAGATATATATTTTTCCTTAAAAAACTATTAATATGTTAACCGATCCATAATAAATAATCTTATAATTATTTAGGTGTTGGCAGAAGAAACATTTTCTAAAAGCGAAAGAGATGCTTTCTTCTCGTGAAGTTTCAAGTCACTGTAGTTTCTGTAATTTACTTTTTCAAGAATATTCCATAACTGTAGTTTTTGTGATTTGCCTTTAATTAGTTCTGAATATTTTGAACATAGAACTCATATAAGTTCACTATAATATAAGACAAAACACAAAAATAGAGCATTTAGATGATAATGACATAAAACAGGACAATTTGTCATCCTTTTGACTTTTGAAACTTTTTAATAATTGTTGCTATGGGTTAAATTAGAAAGTCATAATCACAAATTTGATAACTTATATTCGATAATAGAAAGGGAAAGATAAACATGCAATAATTAAAAAAAGCTTAAATACTTACTTCGTAAAGGCTTAAATGCTTATTTCGTCCCTATGTTAAGAGCTGAATTTCTGTTCAGTACCCGGTTTTACAAATGAAGACATTGGGTCTCTATGTTATGAAAAATATATGAATAAGGTCCACAAAGAAAGAACAAGTTCAACAAATCATCAAAGAAAAAGCTGAACAAGAGAGAAAAAAAACTGGACAGCAGAAGAGAGAAGAGAAAAAGTACGGTCACATCAGCATGGACTTAAGGCCGTTGTTGTCAACTTAACGGACATAACCTTATTGATACACTTTTCATAACATAGGGACCCAATGTCTTCATTTTTAAAACTGAATACTAAACAAAAATTCACCACTTAACATGAGGACGAAGTAAGCATTTAAGCCTTAAAAAAAAGCAATATTTTATTAGAAAAAAAATATTTTCAACAATGTTAATCTGGCTGAACAAATAAAAGAAGAGTAACAAAGTTAGAGATTCCAAAAAAAGGTTAAACTTGAACATAAAAGAAAGAAACAGATTATCTACAAATTAAATAAATTAAATAAAGTTATATTTTAATTTTTTACACTGTGAAAAATTATATATAAATAAACTAGAAATAATATTTTATATTACTTTTGAAGTAACTATGAAATTTCCTCTCCTCCATATAGTATGTTTTATAAATAAATTTCGAAAAAATATGAACAAACGACGTTAATGGAATCAAACTGCCATTTTATTTTTTATTATTGTCATCTTAGCAAGATGGCCGTAAAGGTGGCAATTTAACTGAGAAAACATACAAATCTTGATAGTTCTCTATTTCTTAAACCACCTTGAGTAATTAAGATATCTTTTTTTGTACAATGAATTGAAATGATCATTGAAATAATTACACTAATTAATTTTGATATGAAAATAAGGTACATTTTTTAATCATTTACCAGTTTTCGAAATTTTTGTTATCATCCCGCAATGACCGTTCATGCATGCACCTTCATAGCCACTGACTTAGAATAAAAAGACATAAAAGTGGAGAATCGACTGTCATAAGTCAGATAAATATTCTAAGTTCATGAACTGGTCTTAGAATGATGCATGTCTTCATTCCAGTTCATATACATACTAACACAAATTAGAATGCCACGTCATTCATTACCAATTCGTTTTAGAAGTGGAGCCCTAAAATATCACGACCAAGACCATCCTTGACTATGATGTTTAATCAAGGATTTGATGACATATATATAGGATTTTTCTGACAATAACTAATATTAATTAGAAGATATTTTTATTATATTTATGATGTGATTTTCAGTTGTTATAATAATTTTTTCTAATTTTTTATTTAAATGTACTAATATTTTCTTTTTTAAAAGAAAGTAGAAATTCATGAAGACTTCAATCCATACGAAAGAACTAGAAAAAGGTTTAGATTATTTTTCAAGATCACTCAACAAACTTTTGTCGTGAACAAATTGCACCTAGATAGCCAACTTTTCAAATATTACTTATTCAAGCGCTTTTACTTAGCAAAATCATGATCAACAAAAGTTGTTTGAAAAACCAGAATTTTTCTTTAGGATATAATTTAAAAATAAGAATTATAAATAAGGTATAATAGTTCATTCTTTATTTAATTAGAAATTTTGTCTCTTTTAAAATTTTACTAAGACTATATATGATCCCTAAAATTATTTGCTTTTTAATAACATATTATTAATTTTTTAGGAGGTCTCACTAGTACAAAAATCGCATACAACGTCGAATATTTTGGGTTCTTAACGGCGAAATCACGAACGATGTCATATCAGGAGACGTTAAATTTACGTTCGACGAATTTTGTCAATACTCAACGTTAATAAATTTTTTTTTGTTTTTTTTAATTAATTATGATCCTTTTTTACAACTCTAGGAGACTTGAAAAGCAAGCAGAAAAACCACAAATTTCAGCTTTTGGTATTTTATAAAGCATGAACTATAAACATGTAGTATCAACAACAAACAATAATAACCAACACCAAACAAGTTCAATCAAACAACAACAACAAACAAGTTCAACAAAACAACAACAACAAACAAGTTTAACAAAAAAAACAACAAACAAGTTCTTCAAAATGAAAACGAAAACGAAAACTAACCTTCAAAAGGTGGGTTCGTCGGAATAAAGTTTCGTCACAGTGAGAGAGAAAGCAAAATGCGCCTATGAAGGACAAGAGCACGAAAATAATCGGTTCAAACAGACAAAAATCATACATAAAGTAATTAATTAACATGCATTTGTATCAAACGAAATAAAGATTACATGTGATGCTCGT